CCCAATATGACGTTTCAGATATTCAGTAAATTTTGTCTCTTGTTTAAAATTGTTGGGTTTTGAAATGTTGGGTCGTTTGAAAATCTCAAGCCACACTAGTGGGTGTGCGCACGCGTAAGTTGAATGTAGCCCTATCTCCTCTTGTTTTCGCTGTTTGTAGTTATCCCAAAGAAGCTAGTTTGAAGTCTCGCTAGACTCTTTTTAGGTTTCCTAAGAATTACCCTTGCTATGAATTTGCTAAATAGGCGTAAGGGAGCATGTCACACTGTATAGAGTTCTAAAGTGTGACGTCATCAAAAACCTTTTTTAGAATTTTTGAATTTTAATCACATAGCGTAAAAGATCACCATGAAATACGCAATATTTGCCAAATATGTCTAAAATCGGTTGAGATATGGCCAATGAAAGATTTGAAGTTTGCTAACGAATCACTGTTATTTTGGCTCTGTTCATAGAGTTATGAACAGAGACCGAAATACAGAGGTTTGATGGGGAGAGAACCAATAAACATGTGGCCATAACTCTGCCATTTCGACATACACTTGCCTGATTTTGCAAATCTAGAGGTATTTCATGATGCTCTTTCAGGTTATGGGATCCAAATTAAAAAATTCTAAAATAAGATTTTTGTGACGTCATCACCTTAGAACTCTATTCTGGGTCTATGAATTTTATGATCAGCTTGTAGCGCATATATTCAGTAATTCACCGCTGACATTAGGAACAATTATGTCAGATAGGAGGTGATCAGCTTTGGTATGCGACACAAGTACACCTAAGGATAAAAAAGTCGTAAACATTTGAAATTTGGGTTTTTATTCATTGTCTGAATGTCTTTATTATTAATCCTCTTTGAACCGCATAGCGAAAGAAGTAGTGAAGCAGAAACTGACAGGTCTTAGCCATATTGAGATTCGCTACCTCTGGTTTATAAAAAAATGCTTGCGAAATTGTTGCATTGTTTACACACACCTTGATTTGCTATTGTCTTCGTTCTGAGTTATTTCAAGTGAAAGGGTTGCATTTCTGAGCGTCTACTGTGAAGGAGCTGAACTGAAAGTGGACATTTGGAAATTCAGCTCTAGCTAGCTCTTGGAAGAACTCGAGACGAAGACTTGTAACAAGTCAAAGCCAGACATTTTTTGAGGCAACACATCGTGGTTATTGAGATGGCCTTGTGATTGTATTCGATTAACGGATATAATCGGATAAAGATATGGTGTAATTGGATCAACACCAAATGCTGCAGATTATCTTCCTAACTGGATATATCATTTTGCAAAAATTAGTAGTAGTTTGTGACTTAAAAATCCAATAAATTCAGCAGTTGTTTTCAGTTTTATAAGTAGATTATTCAATATTTAAGTTCCCGACGATGCTTTTCTTCTATATTCATTTTCTAATTTTATTGTTAATTCTTGTGTCCTTGAGCTCATATCACGTGATTCTTGATTCTACGAAAACTTTGTATTCATTCTCATCCCTTTACCTCGTCATGAAACTAAAGGCCGGTGTACACTTGGGTAGCTTTGCTAGGCCTTTGAAAGCTTTAACAGACATCATAGTTCAGACATTAAAGAGGGGAGCAAGGTAGCTGTAAGCCGATGTCCAAAGCTAGCAAACCTAGAAACTTGACCAAACATATCCGTTGAAGTTTCTGTCATATGTTTGTCTCACCGTGTATCGATGTTGCTGTCCTCTTCATTTTGAGATATTTTCAGATAAAAGATTCTTGACATCCCCCCCCCCCCCCCCCCCAGTAACAAAATAAAAAGTTTCGAATATGGTCTACCTCTCCTGTCCTCTCCATTAGGACGCTGTTGGTATGTGGCTCTTGGGGAACAGTCTTTAAAAACTAAAAATTAAAAAATATTTCAAAACTTTTGGTAAAACGTCCTTCCAAAACGACCAGTTAACTGTTTTAAAGAAGGAAAAACTTGTAAGGAAAAATGAGAAAACCGGAATATGATCCTTGTGGAACTCAACCGGAAGTTCCTCTGCTTTTAGTTTCTTTAAGCAAATGATCTAAAATAAATTTTATACTAACCTGGAAAATATTAAAACTGGTTTTAAGGATTGAACACTGGGAGAACATTTTAGCGAGTGCTTACGTTATAGTCATATCATTTCAAGGTGATATTTTAAGATGTACTGACATCTAACATAAGCAAACGAATTCATTGCAAATATTCGATCCTAATAATTGGACCGTTTTTTTCAAAATCAGATTAAGTGCACAGTTCTTTCAGTTTTGGAAAAATCACAACATTGGAAATATTTAGCTGTCTTGGAAATTTGATGTAGCCAGTCTAGTATAGCATAAGTTTTATTGATGTGGCGAAAATGCAGTTCAGTGAGGATTATCTCCGACAGCTTTACTTCCTGCCCCTAGCCAGAGAATAAAGCTGTTTTTTTTGTCTATTTATGCTGTGTAAACGCCCGCTAAAAGATGTCGTAAAATGCCACACAGAATCAAAGAATATAAGCAGACTCGCGTCTGCTTTTAAGATGCTTAAAGATTTGCGTCTACTTTTGAGATTCGACTTATCCATGCTTTATGAGTTGCGCGTGCGACTGTAGATGAAGAAGATATACAAAATAAAGAGGGTGTCTGAATCCTTAATACCGATGGGTCCTTTGGTATTAACACCAAAGGATTCAAATCCTTAGTTTAAACAACGTTTTCCTTGCTTATCGATATGCAAACTAGAGATTTTTCGGTGTCTTTAATGATCAAGGGGAGGCTTTATGTGGTCCCATATCACAGTCTTCCGGAGATTCAACAGAGAAGCTGTTTTCGTACCCCTGATCTTGTTTTTATGCTGTGGTATAAAATGCCATGAAACTACCTTTGGTAGATTAATAGATACATCTTGAGATGAAACAATATTGTTTGCTGTAGGAGTCGAGCTCATTTACCGCATTCAATTTGAAATTAACTGCAAATCTCGAAAACTCCCACAAGAATGGATTCACTCCTTCCAGACAGTCTCGAGTCAAAGTCTAGAATAAACACCCGAAGATGAATATTTCTTGTCTGTTTCAAAGATCCTCTGGCTGTCTAAATGTAGTTAATTTTGCAAAGTTTTTATTTTCAGTATACCTAAATAGATCTGTCGAGTTTCCAAATTAAAATTGTCAAGATAAGTTTATTACGTTTTCTGTAAAAGATTACTTTCAGTAAAGCGTTTTTTGAGTTAGATATATGAAGTCTTCTTCGTTGCAAAATGATCTTCTTTTAGAAATGTTAGGTGGCTCCTTCCTAATAAATTAAAACCAGAAAGCAACGAACCGCATTTCGGAGGGCTCTACCACAAGATGTTATTTGTTAGTTTTCTCTTTTCATTATCTCCTATTTTAATTTCTTTTAGCAGCGAGATGAGCACAACAACCGTGACGTCATCAACTCCGACTGTACAACTCACGCCACAACAACAGCAACAGCTCACTGAACAGCTGCTCCATTTGAAACAGCAACAGCAACTGCAACAGGAGTTTTTGTTCCGCCAGTACCAGGAACAGCAGGAATATTTACGACAACAACAACAAAGAGAGCTTCACCAGCATTTGGAAAGAAAGCCTCCGCAGGGCCGGGTAGTCCATGGTGGGCCTATCAACACATACGACACTAAATCGGAAGGAGACATTTGTAAAAAGGTGAGTGCTGTAGCATTGTTGGAACATCGTTTGATAAAGTAGCAAGGGAAATGGTAGTTTTGAACAAAAAGTACCTATTACCATCAAACACCACGCCGCTCTATAATGGCTCTTTTGATCTACATATTTTCGAGACATGCGCGAGAAGCGTAAGTATTGCGGGTGATTATGTTTCAGTAAAGCCATTTTCAGCCTTCTGAACCATCAAAACAAAGCGGGCTATATGTTTTCAAGAATTTATTTTTTAAATGGTCTGATAACAGATTCCAAATCACAAACCCTGTTTTTGTCGCATAAGCAAATATCGCAATGGCCTACTTGGATAAACACGAACTTTTCGAATTTAACAAACAGCTGCCATCTTGGACACGCCCTTTTTCTGACCAAATATGGCAACTTGATCGCTCTGTTTGAAGCATCCGCCATTTGCATATGCTTAGGCTGTGTTTGCAGGACCGTCCCTGCGGTGGGGCGTTTGGGGTATGACAGGCACTAGAAAATAATCTGTTACAAAAACGAAGATTCCTTGCCATGAAGTGGTGCTTCGCAAATTTTCAGACTTATCGTCAAATAATGGATGAATTACCAACTTTGGCAGCGAATTAGACCTGAGCGCCCTCCTTGGGCACATGAATCAATGACGGTCCTGTGTGTTTTTCTCATGTTACAAGATCTAAGGTTTTCCACTATGCCAAATGTTCTTCGTTTGATTCGTGTTTATATGCTTTGTTCTTAATCCATTTGGTTGCTTTCTTCAATGATAATTTTTACAAGTGGTACTTTGTCTATTGATGAAGTTTCTATTTCTTCAACCGATTACAAATTTCTTCTTTACTTCCTTAACGGATAAATAACTTCTTTTTTATTTCATTAACCAGCCAAAAAAGTTTTTCTCTTATTTGTATACCTTAGGACGTTATTCTTCAGATATTCTTTATTCAATTCATACTTTTATTTTGAGAAGACTTCCATCATTCCGGGTATGAAGGCTTGAGTTGCAATGCTGTTTTAGTTTTTCATACTCCTTGCGGCACTCTTACGTGCTGTTAGCATATTTTTACCTGCTGTAAAGAGTCCCAATTTCTTTCAGTTTTTGTTGGGCAGACGAACGAACGAAAATCTCAAAATGCGTTAGGCATCCCTCCGTCCTTGAGTCCAAGAGCATGCGTAATAATGCCTCCGTTTCATGCGCATGCTCTTTCGCTCCAGGATGGGGGGGGTTCCCTTACTGATTCAAAACTTTCTCTTATACGTCTCTCCAAGAATTTTATCCAACCCGAAGAGAATTTTCCTATAGTATTTTTATCAAATAAGCTTCCCCGGAGAAATTTAGCGAAATTTGAAACTTGTGATGACATGCGGCTCTTCTCATGACAGTTCAACATCTCCAAAAAAAACCATGATATCTGTCTCATCAGGATGACTGGTAGATAAAAATTGAGAAGGCCAACCATGGGTGTTCTTTGTGGCTTGGTCTTTCTAGACAAAAGGTTCGCTTACAAGCTATCTTGTCCCATGTTGATTTTTGAATGGTATTTATATTCACATCCTTGCTATTTGGATATCGAAATTCGCTTGAGCTCTAATAGCACCGCAAAGTTTTGTTTTAAGGGAATAACTTCATGCTACTTTAAGTTATCTTTTTATTTCCAGCATTGGATTTAGATAAACCTCTGTTTTCTGAATCTACAACTTTTCTGCTTAATAAATAAAGCCTTAACTCGGTTGAATATCTTAGATTCACTGGTTTTTTATGATTTGTGCGGAAAATTAGAATTGATAATTCGCATGAGAGTATGAGATGTCCCAGTTCACATTTCACTTCTGAATGGAACAAATCCCTAGAGAGCTTATCTTTTTCTTTTCTGATATTTGAAGTTTAATTTCTTTGCCAGCTTTAATTTAACACGTCTGCAGTGATATTATGGTTGATAATTTTAGACCCCAAGAACGTTTCAGCGAGTATTTTGGTCCACGCTTTCAAGTTTTTAGTGTTCTGGTTCAAAAATGGAGATGTAGTGATCAAGTTTTATTAGGATGGTGTGACATGTTGTAAAGTTTGTTTTTCCAAGGCTAGCAGGACAAAAATAAGGTTGAAAAAACGAATTGATCAAGTTTAGAATTCTTATCGTTTCTCTTTGCTTTAACGAAAATTTATGGAATAAAGCTAATAGCTCTTAATAGATAACATTGAATTTGTGGTTTTTCATGTGACAAAAACCTAAAGCTTAAAATCTCATATTTTTAGAGTTTGATGTTGTTTTCTGTAGACAAAGTATAACCGCTATGGTTAAGACAGTATATTTTGCCAACGGGTTGCTTGCGATAAATTCTTATTGGATAATGCACCATACTTTTAGTGGTCAAGCTTTTGGCCTATGATTTTATCTTTCAATACAACGGTCATGGGGTTAACGATAAGAACAGAAGCATTGACGTTTGCTGACGAATTTATTTTAATTGTCCAAGTAGTTGCAAATCACTCAAGTTTTTCGGTCAGTGCAAATCCTTTGAATCAATGGTTTTTACGTTTCACTCGGGCGACCGCCCTCACCTTCGCCAAAGCTCGCGCCTAATTATTGGCACGAGCTAACGACCGCCCTTATAAAGACATGTCTCGCTCGCAAGGGACAGGAAGAGCATTTAGGCCTGTAAATCACAATATTCCTTGGTGAATGGTCAAGTTGCTTCTTGTTTGTCTATTGAGAAACTAGAAACTAGTGTAAATAGCATAGGCGACAGAATGGTATCTTGCTTGATCCCATTTTAATCACGAAATTTCCCTGTCTCAAAATCAACAGTGACATCGGTTGTCATATTGTCATGGCTTTTTGACCAGACTGGCAATGTTGTTATTGGAAACCAAAAACAACAGGGGTGTCCAGTCATTATTGTTTGTTCGGATCTTGTCTTTGTTAGCTCTTTCATTCTCGGTTTGTCATTTTACCCTAATGGCATCAATAGTCATGTTATACAAAGACCGACTTAATTCAACACATGAAGTACGTCTAGACCAGGGTGCTTGATTCTCGTTCTTTTACCCTTTGAAATATCTAGCAAAATAAATTTGACTCGTCATTGTTTGAGTGGCTGAATGGTTTTCTAAGACGTAACTTTTTCTGGATTTCTGTTTGGCTCTTGAAAATGTTCGTTTTTTGGCCGGTCCATTTGCTCAATGTCTCTGTCTTTGTGTGATTTGGTATCGATGGTTGTGCTGTATCAAGGTTGCGTTCAATTTTCTCACCGCATCTTCTGTTTTTTTGGTTCTCTGTGCTATGTGCTAGGGTAGCAGATGGATGTTGATACAAGACAAAATACTATATTGAAGAAATTGATAAACGTGTGATTTCGTCTCAGCGTGAAAATGTTTAAAAATCAAACGGATGAAAAATTCGCCCTTTCCCTCTGTAAGATAAATATGTTTATATGATACATTGCTTCAAAAATTTCATAAATGTTAAATCGCATTGCAAGGCATTTTAAGTTTCAAGATTTGCAAAATCGTATTTAAGAACTACAACTAAATATGGAGATTTCAACTTGGATTTCAATTAGGCAGAATCCATTGCATAGAAGAATTAAAGAAGTTCCTAAACCGTTTGGCTGCAGATCAACTTGATAATTTATTTGTTCCCAGAACAAGCTTCCAAACTTTCCCATCTTTCTTTACATAGCTCGTTTTTTCTTCAAACTGTAGTAAATATAATACGATTATTCAAACATAACCTTCCAAGTGTGTTTCCATGTGAATCCGTGTTCAAAAGTTCTCGATTGTATTTTTAACCCGCAATTCGCCATTAAAACATTCAATAACGTTGTATGACTATTCGGCCGCAATTATGGCCAATGACGTCATTTCCGTTACGAACAGAACGATGTATCTAAGTTCGTTATTTCTTGCCAACCGGCTGAAGTTCCTTATCGCTGCCACCTTGACAAAACAATATGCCTATTAGAGCTTTGTTACTGTTTTTACGGAGATTGGCCTTGAATAAGAATGTAAATAACCTATTCTATATGTGGAAACAAAGGCTGTGTATAAAATAGACACCGTTTCCTTAAATAGCCGCAGATTTGATTCTGTAGATATCGCAACAGGTCCTTTGTCTTCATCGCAGCGACAGTTCGCGTTACGCACTGAATCGGCTACGGTGTTTAAAGGTTTGAAATCAAAGAACATATGTTGCGTGCAGGCTTTGAAGGCACAGCTCGAATGCTCGCTTGAAAACAACCCCACAGATTCGTCAACATGAGATTGGTCTACCCATGTTTGGTAAGTAGAGCAAACTTTGGGTTAAAAATGAAAAATATTAGCCACACTATTTTTTTAGTTCTCCAAGCATTTCATGGCATAACGTTAAAAAGCAAGGTATTCTCAAAGTTTACACTGGCTGTCACTAGATTATCTCTAGACTGCTCGATAATAGGCCTAGTATTTAAACATTGCTTTGAAAGATTTTAAACGGCACTCCGTGAAACTTAGACAATCTAGACTAGACAAGGATTGATTCCGCTCTAGGGCCTTTAAAAGAAAGTGTTTTGTAATTGAACCTGCAAGTCATTACAGAGTGAATTTTGTTTTACTTAGGTTTTTGAAGTTATCTGACAGCACTTTCTCGCTCAAACAATTAAGCAAAATTCTACCAACGTAAATAGTTATTCATATTATTATATCTTGTAATAACTTTTCCTAAATTTCTTGTTTTTATGTGAAAACATGTGTTATATTAAGATTATTCTGACTGAACATGTTAGAGACGATTTCAACCTGACTGTTTGAGGGCGTGTCCATTTCAAGATAAACTCACTATGTTTAGAAGGAGATTGCGCTCGTCTTGATGTTTGGCTCCGTTTAATCAATAATTCACATAATCGTAAATGAATGATGATAATGAATAATGCAGGATTGGAAAGAAATGATTGTCTATTTTAGGACAGTTTCCATTTAAATCTTCCATGTGGGAGTGTTACGATGAAAATTTCAAATACATATTGTATTATTCATGCTAGTTCTCGTGTGCATGCATATTTCATGCCACGTGTAGAACTCGCTAAATTGTCGTGAGCCATGTCAAAAAGGCGAGGATTCTACTTTGTTGTAGTCTTTTTTAAGCGGTTTAGAGCAGATAAAGCCCTCTGTTTGCCATTATTAGATCGTTGATAGCTCTCGCTTGACGTAAGAGACTTTATAAGCTCTATTTTCTGTACCAACATATTGAATCCTAATTTGATTCTTAAAATGAATAGTAGGCGGAATTCGAAAATCATGACGTGAATAGCATGATCCAGAACAACATAAACTGCATATTAGGACGTTTTTACATCATTTATTACGTAACTATGAAGTGATATCCAAGCTTAATTCTTTTGCAAGGTACCAAGCTAAATACAATTTAATTTTGTGCCAATAAGTTTTTGGCGCCGGAAAATGCGGAATTCTTCCGTTCGCAATACAATTTTTTCCAATCAACGTAATTGTTGTCGTTTGGCAGCCAACAAGATGTGTTTAGAACACAAACGTGTTATTTACGTGTGGCATTAATGTCATAATGTCTACTGGCTTCATCAGGGCACCACGCAATAGATTTAGTTTTTTTATTTAATGCAGATATAAGTTTATCTGAAATATCCCCCAGTACTAACTCAATCTTTCCTTCCTAGGCAACTTTCGTGACAACGTTTGCTTCACTTGTGAGTTTTGTTAAGAATACACTGGCTCCATAAAAACAACAGGGCTCCACAAAATAAGAGCAATGTTAGAGTCTCTGCTGTTAACAGATGAGAGTAGATTTTATTAGTTGATCAATCGAGATTTTCATGCAGTAGAAACAATTTAAAGTTATTTAGTTGTAGAAAAATCAATGTTGGATAAAGAAAAACCACGAACACCGAGCCTTGAATTAATAAAAAATCAAGAACATTGGTACTTGGCAGAAAGTATCTGATAAAAAGTAATGTATTGCCAAGACCCTTTCACTATTGGAATCAACATTTCAATTTTATTTCTGTTTCGTGCTAAATGATTATTTGATAAACATCTCACCGCCAGGTCAAGGTTTCATTTGAAACAAAACTTGGCTTCAGTTCGTCCTTGGCGCCCTACATGAGTTAGCTATTGGCGGGAAACTCTTCCTTTCTACTGCCCAATATTATTCAAGCCCTTTTTGGTTTTTTTGTTTCGATTTTTCTGAAGACCTTGCCAAAGATGCGGAAACCAAGTGACAAAAATAGAATCTTGAATAATTGGCTTACCGCCTGAAGTTTGGAAAAAGCAAAACCATTCTATTTAAATCATAAAGAATATTTATAAATATTTCCTTTGCGTGCTCCTTTATTGAAAATATTTCTTTGTAAACATCGTATTAAGACCGTTGAGTGGTTGCCAAAATTTTTTTCGAATCTAACGGTAGTTGTCCTATTTAGATTTTTCTACATGAAACGTTAATTTTAAGACATCGAAACGGTAATTTCATTTGGCTGAGATAAAAAGACCGCGAAAAAGACAACGCAGACATGTAGCTACTAGAAACGTGTCTCGCGTCTTCCAACAATATAACCCCAAGTAATTTGTCAATTTGATTAAAATGTAAGGAACATTTGAATAATGAACATAACTTTGTTTTATAGGAGAGCTGTAGAGTATCGAGCTGAAAACATTGTATTTGTATTTGTTTCTACCTAGCATCCGAAGGTAGTTTTTAGGACATTGAGAAGCTTATGCTTATCGAGAAGTGTCCTGGTCCTTCATCTCGATGTGACCACACCTCGTGATTTCTACGCCTGCAATTATAGAGAACTGGCGACTCTCCCTACTCTGGGTGAACGTTTGGTCATGCCAGACAGATTTGAAACTTTCTTTAATGCTTTATCACTTTAATTTTATTACTTCATCACAGTCAAAATATATTTAAAATGATTGAATTATATTCATCGTTAAATGTTTACATCGAATTTAAAGCTTTGACTAAACCCAATTTGATTTGAATGAATTTATTGTATGTTTGTATATGCATGAAAAAGCTTTATACATCGCATCAAATAATTTGACAAAATTGCCATATTTAGTATATAAAGCTATCACGTATTCTCTTGAACTGCAGTTTGCTTCCATCGTAAATTTATTTTCGATTTGAAATCCAAATTATCCACTCTTGTGGCAAACAGTTTGGTGTCAGCCAGATTGTTTCATGACTGGTTCAAATGCGACCGGTAGTTATAAACCTTAGTAAGGTAATCTATAACCTGCTGCGTAGGCTTAAACACAAAAGTTAAATTTGAAGAGCTTTGTGATTTATACTCAGTTGATGCATAGTTAAACTGGCATTTAGTTATTTATGTAAACAAAATGTTATATCACACATGTTAGGGACAAATCCGTTATTAATGTAAAAGTTTCCCTTTTCATTTGTAACATTTATAACAAACAACGAATCAAGGCATTATTTTGAAGCAATATGTTTGTTTATAGCAGTTGTTGGGATGAACATCTTTGACATCTATCTTGTGGCACAAATATTGCCTAGTACTTTGGACAACTTTTTATTAGTACCAAACCTACAGCTTATTTTGTTCGTTTATTACTGTTCAAAGAATGAAATGCCATAATGATTTAACTTTTGTTTTTTAGGTTTTTGTTTCCTTTAATCCTTTCTTGTTTACGAATTCGTATATATGTTTACGAACGATCTAACACCTTCATGGTTATAAAGCCAGTCACAATTGTGATCCAGACTTGTAAATTAAGCAATTTCACTTTCACTTCAGTTTTCCTCTCATACCCTGAGGAGTTCTAGATAAAAAATCATTTTAATAATATGATTTTGGAGTTACTTTCATTTTTCTTCCGTAACATTAATTTGCATTAATCACATAAATTATAATAAATTGGAAATGTACGTGAAAGATGTGGTAATATATAAGTTTCGTACCGGAAAACCATCCTTTTTAGCCGGAGAATTCATCCGGCTAAAAAAATTTTTCTTTCCCATGAATCGAACCTTGAAAATATTCTTTTCATTTTACAGGAAAAATCTTCTGCCTTGAACGAATCGATAATCCAAAGGCCAAAGAAAGAAGAAGGTTAGTTGGTTTGATAATTTGTGGTACATCATACTATAATCGCTATTTTAAGCGCCTGAAGCGTGAGGTTCCTTCGACAGGAATTGTAATTCGTGTATAGTTACATAAAGCAAGAACATGTCGGTTTTGATGCAGTGTGATTATAAGATTATCCGGTAGATAACAACGAAGAACACCCCAACTCGGACTTCAATACTCCATTTTGTATTCTCACGCCTAGAACATTACATAACGAAACGGGCCCATGCTCAACATAACGTAAATACGAGGCTAATAACGTCGCACCTTTCCTCCAACAAAAAAATTAACAGAACAGTAACATAATAAAATAATTGTCTTCAAAGTTTGCTAATCAGAAGTTGTGGTCAGGGAGGTAGTCAGGCCGAATTATCTTCCTGCCACTCCTTGTCGTTACTGGCTGGAAAAAGTTCAATTGCCTGTGATCAAATCTGGTCTTAGCAGGTCTAACGGCGGTTGTCTCTTCTTCAGTGGCATCAGGTCGTGAGTGACGTGCCTCTTGCGGATCAAATTGCTCCATTTTAGATTGGTGGTCTTCATAAGGTCGAGCCACTGCTTCTCGTTCCTTTCTGGGGAAAAAGATTGAATCTTCTTCATCTGCGTAGAATGGCTCTTTGGTTTGACTTAGAAACTTTCGATTTCGTCTGAAGAATCTTCCATCTTCGGTTTTTACATTATAAGATCTTACACCAACTTGCTCTATGATACATCCTTTTGGTCCAGCGGCCTGTTCTGTCATTATTTCTTGGCTTTATCCGGACTACATCACCTTTCTTTAATGCACTTAGCTCCCTTGTGCCTCTGTTATAATACTTTGATTGTATCTCTTTCCTCGAAGTTTTTCTTGGACACCAGTGACAACCTTTGGTTTAAGGAGCTTCTTCGATATGGGAAGCAGTGTTTTAGCTCGTCTGCTAAAAATACGCTGGGAAGGAGAGCTTTCCATCCCCCCAGACGGCGTGTTTCGCCATTCTAGTAGCACGAGATAGAAGTCATTGCCAGATTCAGTCGCTTTTTTCATTAGCATCTTTGCAGTTCTGACGGCATTTTTTGCTTTGCCATTACTTTGTGCGTACTCTGGCGAGCTTAGCTCGGTGGTAAATTCATATTCCTTGGCAAAATCCTGAAATTCTTTAGAGGAGAAAGGTACGTTGTCACTCA